ATTCTCCAGGAAAGTATACTGGAGTGGGTTGCCATTTCCTCTTCCAGGGGATCTTCCAGACCCAGGGATTGAAACTGTGTCTTTTGTGTCTCCTGCACTGACAGGCGGATTCTTTTACCACTAGCACCACTTGGGAATGCCCTCAGACATCTATAGATATCTAAATAAAATGTATGAACATGAGTTATATGTAGAATCATGTGAATGATGAATGGAAAACTGCTCAATCATTTAAATTATGCACATGTACATTAAAAAATACATTATAAACAATAGATTATCATAATATATTACATGTATAATATACTGTACACAATATAAATATATAAACATGAATATTCAAATATATACATAAATAATTCTTTCTATGTTTGTATATATAATGTGTATAACATATTAAATACTATATAAATACATAAATCTATGCATGACTTAAGTAACTGAAGAGTTTTCCATTTGGTCATGTACATAACTATCTTTATTATTCCCAAGATCTACCTTTATGTAATTTTTGTGTTTGTGTACATGTTCATGTGTGCATACACATGCTGCTAATTGTGAATGCGTGTAAAAAACTGATAAACAGAAACCTCAATCAACTGGAGTTGGGAGAGACCAGAAGGGGGCGCTCCCACACCCTGAGCAGATAGCTCACATGACAGGAAGAAGGAGGACCCCTCCTCTTGGTAACAACTCAACCAATGAAAAGCCACGGACTGTTTACTACAGCCCTCCACCTTCCTAGTCCCCTCTATAAAAGTGGTCTTCTCCTGCCCTTTGGGAACATGGGTCCCGATGGTCATAGACCCTAAACTGTAATTCTCTAATTCTGTATAAACACATTTTTGCCATTGAAATAACTGGCAGTCCAATTTTTCAGGTTAATATACATGCATGGTTTTCCTTTTTTTTCTGTTTTCTTTTTAAAAATTTATTTTTAATTGGAGGGTAATTGCTTATTTAAAGGACACTGAACTGAGAATTTCCTGAGAAAACAGTTCCATGTTGTGTAATGACCTCTTGAAGTCAAGTTTCTAAAATGGACTTGTTGAGTCAAAAGTGACCCACATCTTCAGTTCTGAGACATGTTGCAAACTGCTCTCCAGAAATTGGGCATCAGTTGATGCTTCCCCCAACTTCTTCCTCTGACTCAACCACAGGAACCAGTCAGGTGGTGCAGCTTCTGTTCGATACCTTCTGGGAAGCTCTGAAATCTACTCCTTCCTTTCTGTGTGGATCAGATCTGACATCTGACATGGTAACCTCCAGGGAGCTCTGTCTCACATGCAGTTCTGATCTTGTCACTTCTCTATTCAAACCCCACCCTGATTCCCAATCCCCCTTTCTGTAAAATGCAGACTGAATGTAATTTTCAAGATTCGTTTGAATCTGGTTTCAGCTGATTCTTTCTCTTTTCACATTTCTATCCACTTGGTGCTCAACCCAAGCAAAGTTTTGTGGTTCCTAACATGTGGGGCAATGTTGCAATAACTTTTTATCAAATGTTACAATAACTTTTAATCAAAGGGATGGTGGGTTTTTAAATTTTCATTTTAAAAATATAAGTTGTATATATAATATACAAGGTGTACATAATGATGAGGGTTCCTTTGGCAGCTCAGTGGTAAAGAATCCGCCTGCCAATGCAGGTGACTCGGGTTCCATCCCTGGGTTGGGAAGATTCTCTGAAGGAGGAAATGGCAACCCACTCCAGTATTCTTGCCTGGGAAATCCCATGGATAGAGGAGCCAGGTAGGCTACAGTCCACGGGGTCACAAAAGAGTTGAACATGACTTAGCGACGAAACAAGAACCACCACCACGTGTTGATGACTGAATCCTGGGATTATATCCTCTCTGCATTTTATGCCCACAGGTCCTTTGCTATGATCCCTGTGACTGATTTCTGTTCATCCTAATTTCCATGACCCCATTTTAAAAAATCACTTCAGATAACCTGACTCAATGCATGCCTTGTTACAGAGTATTCTGTCTACCTAACTTTCTTCACTGTACTAGACCAGGATGTTTTTCAAATGTCCTCTGTAAATGACAAGACAATAAATATTTCAGGCCTTGTGAACTATAGTTCTCTGTCTCAAAGACTCAACCTTGCTATCAAAGGGAAAAAGCAGCCAATATGTAAGTAAGCACAGACATGTTCTAATAAAGCTTTATTTAAAAAAAAAAAAGCAAGGCGATGGGCCAGATTTGGCCCATGAAGCATAGTTTGCCAATCCCTGGCCCAATGTGAGTGTTGGTAAAACTACAGCTTGAGGGTCATTCTCCTGTTTCTGTAAATAAAGATTTACTGGAACACAGTCATGCCATTCCTTTACGTATCAACAGTCCCCTAACTGCCACATTACATCAGGGGTTTGGAGCCTTGGCTGTACATGGGAATAACCTGGGGGACTTAAGGAATTTTATTGCTGGGGTCCCATTCCAAGAGATTTTTCCAGGGGGTGGGAGAGTGGGGAATCTGGTTCCCAGGATTTAAAATAATTCTTTAGTTGATTTGAGTATGTAACCAAGCTTGAAAATCACAGTACCACCGTCACATCTCTTTAAGTGGGTGCCTCTTAATTGTCTGTATTAGAAATAAGTGGGATTTTTTTTTATAAATGATAACCATTTCCCGAGTACTGTCCTTGGTTGGCTGAAGAAGCCATAGAACCAACGTTTAATCCTCCTCCTCCATGCCCTCTTCCCATCCCAATAATTTTTATTGAAACTGAAGTTTTGAAACATTTGTAGTAAACCAGAAGCTGGCAGATGTTTTTGTCAAGGGCCAAAGAGTAAATATGTTAGGTTTTGAAAGCCATCTGGTCTCCGCTGCAATTCCTGAATGCTACAGGAATTACAGTGGGGGGATAGCTATAGGTAATACATAAATCAACATGCATGGTTGTGTTCCAATAAACCTTTATTTGTGGAGGGTGAAGTCTGAATTTCAAATTTTTTACATGTCATAAAATAGTACTTTTTTCATCCTATTTGGGGTCCTTTGGACTTCACGGATATGGTTACATCTAGTTGGCTTCCCCTGTGGCTCAGCTGGTAAAGAATCTGCCTGCAGTGTGGGAGACCTGGGTTTGATCCCTGGGCTGGGAAGATTCCCTGGAGAGGGAAAGGCTACCCACTCCAGTATTCTGGCCTAGAGAATTCCATGGACTAGTCCATGCGGTCGCAAAGAATTGGACACAACTGAGCGACTTTACTTCAGTGCCTTGATTGTGGTGATGGTATCATGTCATTTGCATTTATCCAAACTCATCACATGGTACCCACGAAATATGTGCAGTTCTTTCTAAATCAGTTACACCTCACCAAAACAATTAAAGTATTCTTCTTTTGGTTTTTTCCAACCATACAAAATGCAGTGGTGTTGACTGTTGTATAACAATGTGAATGTATTTAATGTCATTTAACTTTATACCTAAAAACTTTTTTTTTCTTTTTCATTTAGCCATGCCCTGCAGCATGCAGAATCTTAGTTCCCAAACTAGGGACTGAACTCATGCCCCCTGTGGTGGAAGTGTGGAATCTTAACCACTGACATCCAGTGGGTCCCTAAAAATGGTTAAAAAGGTAAATTTTGTGTCAGGTATATTTTAGCTGCTCAGTCATGTCCAACTCTTTGTGACCCCATGACTGTAGTCTGTCAGGCTCCTCTGTCCATGGGATTCTCCAAGCAAGAATACTGGATACTGGAGTGGGTTGCCATGCCTTTCTCCAGGGGAATCTTGTCAACTCAGGGATCAAATCCAGGTCTCTGGCATTGCAGGTGGATTCTTTACCGTTTGAACCACCAGGGAAGCCCACAAAAAGCAAAAAAGTATTGAAAAGTGTAAAAATGTAACATGTATGGTACAAAACAGGTGACTTGCCAGATTTGACCTGTGGGCTCTAATTTATTGACCCCTGCCCTAGACAACAAACTCTTCAACAAGAAGGATGGTTTTAGGATCTTTCCTGTGCTCCTACAAATAGTCAATTTGCAAAATAAAAAGCACCAATCATACAGAAACAATGAGAGTGAGGGTATTTATATCTGAGGACTTATTTGAACAGGAGACCCGATTTCAAAGTTATTTTCATGAATCTTCAGTTAATTGGCACCCAGTAGCCTCAAAGTGGAGACTTTTAGAGTAAAGGTCAAAAAACTATCAGAACTTCCTATCAATCACTCAAGACTTCTGATAGATTCCTTAAATGCCAATGTTCAGCCCTTTCTCATTCCTTTATATAGATTAAAATTTTCATCTGGTATATTTTTTTCTTCGCTTAAACAACTTCCTCTAGTATTTCTTGTAGTAGGTTATGAACGTTCTCAGCTTTTGTTTTCAGAAGGCTGTAGCATAAAACCTGGTGCCCAAGAGGATTTAAGTCCACTTACTTATTTAATCCCCTCATGGATCACAGCCTTGTCATGGCAAAAGAAAATCAACCCTGAATATTCACTGGAAGGACTGATGCTGAAGCTGAAGCTTCAATAGTTTGGCCACCTGATGGGAAGAGCCAACTCAATGGAAGACTGTGATGCTGGGAAAGATTGAGGGCAGGAGGAGAAGGGGACGTCAGAGGATGAGACGGTTGGCTGGCATCACCGACTCAATGGACATGAATCTGAGCAAACTCTGGGAGACAGTGAAGGACAGGGGAGTCTGGCATACTGCAGTCCACGGGGTTGCAGAGTCGGACACGACAGAGACTGAACAACATCAACATTTAATTAATGAATAATGAAAACTTACAAAATATTACCCTGTCGCTCTTCTGACGACTTCAGAGGGTCTCAGGAACAATTAGAGATTCTGGGACTGACTGGATGATGTTACTGAGGTCTCTCGATTTCCAGGGGGAGGGATTTTCCGAGGAATGTGGGCTCCCTCAACCAGGCTGATTCTCAGGTTTGGAACCTCAGTTCTAGAGGAGGGAGTTACCAGAGGTAGCTGTGAGTTCTGCCGCCCAGATGAAGTGCTGGCCCTGGTGCCTCGCTTATCTGAAGGCCAGCGTCACATACTCGCTCCTCTGGGTCTGTCTGGGCACCCAGGAGGGTGTCCCAGCGGTCCCCTGGTGGGGGACGCGGCAGGTCACCTGGGAATAGGTGACCTCCTGCGGGTCCGCAGCTTCAGAGGCCTGAGGAAGGAAGGGAGAATGTGAGACGGGGGTGTGACACGGGGGTCCAAGGGACGGTCTAGAGGAGGAAGCCCTTACCTGTCCATTCACCTGGCCAGCTGCCTCTGGCTGTCTTTCTTTCCTCGCAGCGTCTAGAGGGAAAGAGCAGGTTGTTATAGACTGTGTATCTGTGTCCCCACTCCCCCCCAAAATTGATCTGCTGAAGTGGGGCCCTGCACATGGTGGTGTTTGGAGATGGTGCCCCTGGCAGGAACTGAGGTTTCGATGGGGCCCTGAGGGTGGGATTCGCATGTTCAGCCAGAGCTCTAGCTTGCGCTTTCTGCCAGGAGAGGTGACCGTCTGCAAGAGAACCCTCACCGGGAACTGAATCCTAGCACCTACATCTCGGACCTCCCAGCCTCCAGAACTGTCAGAAATGAATGCTGGATGGTTGAAGCACCTAGTCTATGGTGTTCTGTTAGAGCAGCTCGAACAAAGAGAGGGTCATTTCTTAAAAAACTGAAGTACTGTCGAATATACAATATAAGTTACAGGTATACAGTATAATGATTTACAGTTTTGAAAGGTTAAACTACATTTATAGTTATTATAAAATATTGCCATATTCCCCATTTTGTTGTTGGGGCATTTGGGATCTTTTTTTTTTTTCCTAACTGTGGCATGTGGGATCTAGTTCCTTGACCAGGGATCAAACCTGTGCTGCCTGCAGTGGGAATGCGGAGTCTTAGCCACTGGACCACCAGAGAAGTCCCATCCTTGTAGATTATTTTATACTTACTAGTTTGTACCTCTTAACCCCCTACCCCTTAGTTCCCCCCCCCCATTAGTCACTGCTAGTTGTTCTCTATAGCTGTAACTTTAAACATACAACATTATAGCCTGAACATTTCTCTTTGTCACTAGAGGTATTTCCTGAACAATATTTTAAATGGCTATGTGAGCTGTACCTTTGTGTATGGTTTATATCCTGTTTTACGGCACTGTTTTGGTATATGGGTTATATATTGTTTTATGACATTGTTTTGTAATATTGTAAATAATGCCATAGTCAGTATGTTTGTGAATCCACCAGCAGCTTAAGAGAGTGTTTACAGCTCATCTTCCCCGATTGCATTTCTTCATCTTTTCATCTTTGATAATGAAAAATGACACGGCAGAAACAGCAACAATCTCGTGAACATAACAAAGGGAGGGTGATGTCTTCAGCGGGGTGGCAGCAGATTCCCCCCAGCCCTGTCTTCTGGAAGGCAGTTACCACAATCACAGCGTGAACCAGCAAAACAGCCCACCCCTCATTGCTTCTGGACCCCTCAGTCCCTCCCCATTTCCCCAGTGGGATATGTGCCCCAGGGTTCTCTGCACAGGCTTGCCCCCTCCTGCTCTCAAGGACCTACTGTTTTTGGCTTTGCGCAGACAGTAGAGGATGAGAGCGACTAGGAGCAGGAGACCCGCGGCCACCGGGACACCGATCCAGATGCCCAGGTGTCTGTCTTGGGAGGCTAGGTTGTCAGATGGGGCTGCAAAAGAGGACACAGTGCTGGAGCGGGCACCCTGTGTAAAGAACCTTCACACACACCACGGTTTCTGAGTATTTCCTCAGACCCCACCACAGTCCCCAAGCTCAGAATTGTTGACCCGTTTTCTTAGAAAAGAGGAATGAGCTTTGACCACCTCGTTTGCTTGCTCCGTGAAGTCATAGATAAGAAAGCACTTGGAGGGACTTCTCTGGAGGCCCAGTGGTGAAGACTTTGCCTTCCAACGCAGGGGTGTGGGTCCCACCCCTGATTGAGGAGCTAGGATCCCACAAGCCTCGTGGCCAACCCACCCCCCCCAAAAAAAACATAAAACAGAAGCAAGTTCATAACAAACCCAATAAAGATGTAAATGAGAAGCTGCTCGGAAATGGAAATTTGTATCCTTATAGAAATCAGCACGTGATGACACACGGCCCAAACCCCCGCCCACCTGTGTTTTCCTGTGGCCCTCGAGCTCAGAATAGACTTACATTTTAAAACTGTAATCCAAAAATAGAATAAAATAAAAAAAGAATAAAATTTGCGACAAGTGCAAACGAACTGAAATCCAAGCTTCAGCGCCTGTATCTATTGTTTCATCAGAGCTCGACCTTGGCTCACTTGCTTCTGCATATCGTCTGTGGCTGCTTTTGTGCACAGGGTCAGAGTTGAGCAGTTGAGAAAGAGACCAGCTATCCACCCACTGAGTAACTGGCCTATTACAGGAAATATTTACTGACCACTGGGGCAGAGGAAGCACAGCTCAGAAAAGAGCCAGCGGTGGTGAACAAAGAATGTGGTGTTAGCCAAGCTCAGGGGAGGGCTCATTCCAAGAACTGACTTGAACCATCATATGGAAATGTGTAGGAAAAGTACGCACTTCATTACACCAAAGCAACCACAGACAGCAAAACGGATCCTTTCTGTGTTGGCCAGATTCCAATACAGAACACAGTATACATATATTTTAAAAAACAAATAGGCTGTGATCTGGATACAGCACACGTTTCACACCCCCATCCCGCCTGCCCCCAGTTTTCCAGTCAAGGTTCTATCCATCTCATAGGTTATAGGGCCCACATGGGGGTCTCACTGATAAGGTGGCTCATTATGTCGACCTCGCAAACAAAGAATAAAGTCACACAGCGATCTGTGAGACTGACCAAATTGCCCAAATGGCATCCTGTTATCTCACCGACACCTATGTTCTCAAAGCTGCGAGACCACAGATTCCAGATCTCTGGCTACATGACCATCCCTTCAGAGAATTTTTCATTGGTGGGGTCTAAGAAGGACTCCATCAGAAACGGAGAATGCTGGTTCTCCTTAGGAGCCAGTCACCCCTCTTTTCCTCTAATAAATTTCCTTTTCTTGCCTGACTGCCCAACTCCCTCTCTCTTTCTCTGCACTTGCCTCAATTCTGGTGTTGAAACCCGGGAGGGAAGATCAACCACAGCTGGGTGGGTGCCTCTCTTTGCCGGGAAACTGAGACGAGCTCCAGGACGGGACTCTCCACTTGCCTTGCTGGACTGACATCCACACAGCGGCCTGCTTTTCATCCACCGGTTACAAGGGTGAGTGAAACCCCATTCCCTCGAATCCTCTCTCTCTCCCCACGGCCTTTGGGCCCTCCGCCTTGTGCCCCGTCTGACTCTGAAATAGGGGACGCCCATTTCAAAGCAGACTATTACTACTCTCTGAGAAAGTCCTGAGAACAGGGATGCCTTTTCTCCCGGATCTTTCTTTCTCCTCGCTTTCTCTTGCCCTTGCATAACCTCTAGGAGGGCATGGTCAACTCAAGAGCGAGGAGTCCAAGGGCAAACCCCTCCTCCTGAGGACCCCTCCAGCTTTGCAAGCTCCTTATAGGCATCTGTCTGTGAATGGCCCCCCAACACACACACACACGTGCATGCATGCACACACACGCGTGCATGCGCACACACAAGCATGCACACACACACGCATGCGCGCACAGTACAGACTCTGAGACATGTCTTGGGACAGGAAGCAAGTTCATACTAAATTCTTCTCAAGACGTGAGAAAGAAGTGACAGTGGTCGCAACCACAGAAGGCCTTAACCCCACAGCCATTAATCCGGTATGGAGTTTGCGTCTACATCCCTGAATGACATGAGGTTCAGAGGAGGGGTAAGACGTTGACAGGGAATTTGTTGGAGGGACCGCTCTCATGATTGGTGTGTCCTCAGTGCAGCCTAGGGACGAAGCCCCTAGAGACCAAGGCTACCTGGTCGTCTGGATTATTCTGAGCTGTTATTGACAGACTAACCCTTCTGGGAGCAGAGCTCAGTGGTGAGGCTACGAATTCTAGAGTATTGTCAATTATGGATCACTGATAACTGGTATCTATGGATCCTGTTGGCTTTATCTGCAATGTGTAGACCTTCTAATCCTCTCCTTTCCCTTAGGGAGAGCAGCTCTACCTGCTATATCTGTGTTCTCCATGCCCCAAGACATCAGAAGTCTTAAAAAGCTGGCCCTGTCTCTAGTAAACCCCGTTCCACTCCAGGTCAGAGAGAAGGGAACACAGAATCTCATCTCAGTTTTCCACGTAAACTCAGTCACTCACCAGTTGCACGTCTGGGTTGTGTGTTGCTGGGAGAGTCAGTGGTTCCTGAAAACAGAGGTGAAGTGGGAGAGGTCTTCCTTATTTCTGCCTGGCCAGGTTCTTCCCTCCCAGAGTCCCAGGGACCCACATGGCCTGTCCCCGCCCATCCCTTAGAGATGCGTGTCTAAGCTGATGGTGTTCACACACCCCCATCTCGCAGTCCTCTTCCCTAGCCAGTGCTTTAACCGCACAGGGTCAGCGCCCAGGGCGGGAGTCAGGTGGGTGGACTGGGCTTCTTCCTCACCTTCAACCTGAAGCTGCAGTGGGTCACTGGGCTGAGACCACACATAGGGGTTGTTGAGGAAGGCACCATAGCATCTGTAGGTCCCCGCCTGTGTGGTGGAGACTGGATTCAAGAGGAAGATGGTCTGGTATCCTCTGTGCTGGGGGGTGGAGCTTTGGTTCTGGGTGATGTGATCTCCATTTTCTTTGGTGAGGATAAATACATCATAGTTGATTTTGGAGAAACACTGCAACTTCACATTCTCCCCTGGAGCCACCACTGTGCCAGCCACGCTGGAGAGGGAGGGTTTGTCATAAGCTCCTGAGAAGGAAGGAAGTTCAGTGATGGAGGGAAGGGTCACCTATGCACTGTCCCTTTTTGTCCCCTGGGAGCAGACATGGCTCTGGTCTCTCTCCCCTCCTTGTCCCCCTCCCCCTTGAGGAAGTCTTTTGGCATCATCCCAGAGACCTCCCCAAGGACAAGGCTCGGTCCTCCTGCTTCCTGTCCCCAAAGCCTGGTCCTTCCCTCGGCAGAGGGGTCAGTCCCGGCTCTGGTGCCTCGGTGTCCCACTCACCGGTCATCACCAGCTGCAGGGGGTCACTGAACTGGGACCAGCGGCCTCGTCTCTGATAGGAGCAGTGGTATAGCCCTGTCTTGTCTGTTGTTATCTCTGCGATACTCAAAGTGTTGGTCTTCCCAGGTGTGATCTGTTCCTCTTTGTCCATGGGCTCAGGACTTCCCACTTTTGATATTCTGTACCCCTCAGCTTGTTTAGGTCCTTGACATAGGAGGGTCACAGGACACCTAGGTGGAACTGTGGATCTAGGCAGAGCTGTGATACGAGGTGGGGGGAGATTTCCTAGAACACAGGGAACAGGTGATAATCACACAAGTGTTTCTCCCTCCACCCTTCTATTTCTCCCCTTCTTACAGCCCCCAGTCTAGAGTCTGAGTCCCCTCTTTCCAGCTGCCAAGAGAGATGATATCAGGCTTAAACCCTGCTGGGTCCTCAGGAGTATCACACAAAACACTCACCCTTCTGTGCCCAAGTGCTGTGGCTCAGACACAACCCTAGAAAGAAACACCCGGTGAGGACAGCACAGCCTTAAAGAACCCCCAGTCCTGCCCTCCTTAGCCGTCTATTTGCACCCAACCCTCTCCCCCCGACTGACCAAGACAGAGCAGCGAGGGAGAAACCATGGACATGATCCCGCGTTCAGGCTGCCCACTGCCCCAGCCCCGCTCTCTGATGAAGGACACACTGCTCCGTCGAGTGACCCACACTGACAGGAAGCTGTGCAGATGATTTCAGTTCTTAGCGCTGTAGTGAATGCAGTTCACACCCTCTTCCTCCTGGGTTGGGAGTGGGGCGTACAGACGTAGCTGACACCACGAAGACGTTGATCGGAATTCTCCTCTGTGGGCATACTGGGTCACGGCTGGGCGGGGAGAACCATGGTGTTGGGGTTGAAACGTCAGAGGCCTGTGGCTCAGGAGGGCTTCCCTCAGGACTGAGGAGACGACTGAAGGTTCCAACTCAGAGCAAGAAGTTGCTGTTCAGTCACTCAGTTGTGTCCGACTCTTTGAGACCCCATGGGCTGCAGCACGCCAGGCTTCCCTGTCCATCACTGTCTCCCAGAGTTTGCTCCAACTCGTGTACATTGAGGTTAGACAGGGCTTTCTTTCCTCTGACACTGTGGAGAATACACATATCCATACCTATTTATCATTATGTGTCATTTCATTGTCTACTTATTTATCATTTATCATGTATCAATCATGAATTTATTATCTATTGATCATTTATTATCATCTACCTACCTACAATTTATTTATCTAATTCTATCATCTATCTATGGAGTTCCGTGGTGGCTCAGTGGTAAAGTGTTGTCTGCAATGCAGGAGATGTGGGTTCTATACCTGGGTTGGGAAGATCCCCTGGAGGAGGAAATGGCAACCCACTCCAGTGTTCTTGCCTGGAGAATCCCATGGACAGAGGAGCCTGGTGGGCTACAGTCTGTGGACTCGAAAAGAGTCAGACACAACTTAGCGAGTAAACAACAGCAACAGCAATCGCTTATTTAAATCTACATCTAGATATCATTTATGTATTAATAATCTCTTTGCTATTTATCTGCCATTTGTTCATTCTCTACTGTCTATCAAGCAATCATCCATTATTTTATTTTTATTTTAAATATCCAGTTATTTGTGTGTTTATCTGATGGTACCAGGTCTTAGTTGTGGCCCACGGGATCTTTAATTGCAGGAGGCAAACTCTTAGCTGCCACAGGTGGGATCTAGTTCTCTGACCAGAGACCAAACCCAGGTCCCCTGAACTGGGAGCAAGGAGTTTTAGTTACTGGACCACCAAGTAATTCCCTATTTTTATTTTTTAAGACAGCCTGAAAATAGACTATTTTATGTATTTATTTAATTTTGGCCATGCCCTGTGGATGTGGGATCTTAGTCCCCTGGCCAGGGATTGAACCCATGCCCCCTGCATTGGAAGCACAGAGTCTTAGCCACTGGACCAAAGGGAAGTGCCTATCTATTATTTATATATATCATTTTTTGCTTACCTATCTATCTATCTGTCAATATCTAATGCCCTCTATCTTTGTATCATTCTCTTCCTCCTCCCCACCTCTTTCCCTCCATCCCAGGGCATCGAAACGGAATCCTGAGAAGACCCCCATCACTACTTTCTAGGAGAACCATCTCCAGACACTTTGCTTAGCATGTCTTTGCTCTCAAGTTACTTGGACTCAACTGTTTGGAGGAAAGATTGTGAGAGAGGATTACTGAGTTCTAAAACCCACTGTCTGTTTTCGCATGGCCTCAGGAATTTTAAATGATGAAAAAAAAAAACCAAAGAAAATTATCATTTTTTAACCCATGAAAATGAGTTAAAATTCACACTTTTTCTTTTTCAAACCAGGTTTTATAGGATTATGGACTTGCTCATATGGTCATACATCATCGCTACTGCTTTTGCACTGTATGTGTGCTCATCAGGTCTGACCCTTTGTCTGACCCGTGAACTGTAGCCCACCAGGCTCCTCTCTGTCCATGGGAATTCCCAGGTAAGAATACTGGAGTGGGTTGGCAGTTCTTTCTCCAGGGGGTCATCTTGACCTAGGGATTGAATCTGGGTCTTATCCATCTTCTGCGTGGGCAGGTGGGTTCTTTAGCCCTAGTGCTCCCTGGGAAGCCCTATGAGAGCAAAACGGAGTGACTGCAAAGAGAGCAAATGGCTCACCATATATTTACCACTTTACAGAAATGAGTTGTCATTTAGAACATGACAGACACATAGCCAACTCTGAGAAGGCATTCAGAGAAAACACCCAAGGAAAGTTATGCCTATACTGACACAGGAAAAAGTAAAGAACAGGCAGAAGGTGGGGACTTGGGTGAGGGAACAGCAGCCAGTGGCAGACAGCTGAGTTGAGTCTTGAGGCAGAGGTGAGGCTGAAGAGCACGTGATCACTTAGTCTCTCTGTTTTTCTGTGCGGTATCCACGGAGGTTTCAGTCTAAGGGTATTTATCATTTACTTAAACAGCTTGGCGGAGAAGGCAATGGCAACCCACTCCAGTACTCTTGCCTGGAAAATCCCATGGATGGAGGAGACTGGTAGGCTGCAGTCCATGGGGTCGCTAGGAGTCGGACACGACTGAGCAACTTCACTTTCACTTTTCACTTTCACGCATTGGAGAAGGAAATGGCAACCCACTCCAGTGTTCTTGCCTGGAGAATCCCAGGGATGAGGGAGCCTGGTGGGCTGCTGTTTATGGGGTCGCACAGAGTTGGACATGACTGAAGCAACTTAGCAGCAGCAGCAGCAGCAGCAGCAAACAGCTTGGAGCTAGGAAGTCCCCAGACTATTTCATCAGCTCAACTGTAACGGGGTGAGTTAGCCTTTCTGTGATTCTGTTGTTTTAGTCTCATGCTTTGAAAGTTGTTTTTTCTCAGAAACAAAAAGCAAAACCCTGAACCCCCATACCCAAAGAGGAAAAATGGCTAACATCACAACCATCTGTGTAACTAGAGTCCCCAAACCAACCAACCAATATAAATGTTCCTGCTTTTATACTTGCTTTCTATCATTTTTAAATTCTGCAAAGAGTCAGACACTACTGAGCGACTTTCACTTTCATATGGGATATACTGAAGAAAAAAGAGTCAGCATTTCTGGTCCTAGACCCGTTTCTCACCCTGCAAGAACAACCACTCCAAGGAATTTACACATTACACATAAGTAAAGTTTATTAAGCATCATCTCTGTTTGAATCATGTCCTGTTCTAAATTGTAAAGAGTATTAAAACATTTATTCCCAGGTACTTCCCTGGTGGTCCAGTGGTTAAGACTGCCTCCCAATGCAGGGGCTGTGGGTTCAATCCCTGGTCGGGGACCTATGATCCAACATGACTTGTGGCTCAAAAACCAAAACGTAAAACAGAAGCAAAATTGTAAAAAATTCAATAAAGACTTAAATATTAAAGCAAAACAAAAAACCGTGCTTATTTCCGAGTCTCTCCTGTAAGACAGGGTATAAAAGCAAGGATTTCTGGCTCAAAGATCAGACTCAGTGATCTCCAGGAGGCAGGGTGAGTAATAGCCCACTGATTACAGTTTTGCAAAGCTACCCAGAACCTCCATGTCAAAAGGGATACTAGAGATGTGGTGAAATTACGGTTCTTGGGTGGGGGCTGATCATAGGTTGCCACGGTGGACCCAACGAAGTCACGTGTTCTTTTTTTAAATATAATTTTATTTTTATTTATTTATTCATTTGGTTGCTGCTCACAGGCTTAGCTGCTCTGCAGCTTGTGGCATCTTAGTTCCCTGACCGGGCATCAAACACATATCCCCTGCATTGCAGGGCAGATTCTTCACCACTGGACCCCCGGCAAGTCCCCACAAGTGTTCGTTAAAAGGGAAGCAGGAGGGTGGGGGTGTGTGAGGCAAGAAGGGAGGAAGGAAGCAGCGGTCAGAGAGGAGAAGAGGCGCTCCCCTCCTGGGTCTGGAGGAGGGGGCTACGCGACAGGGAACACAGGCCCAGCCTAGAAGCAGGAAAAGGCAAGAACGGCAACGGGAAAGTAGCAAGTAGTGGAGGCTTGGGGACAGCTTTAGGCTTCTGCTCTCAAGAACTGAAGGAGAAGTAACACTGGGCTGCCCTCGTCCGCGGCGCCCCTGGCGCGTCATTTCCGGTTCTACAGGAAGCGCGCGGCTGTACCGGATGTGTGGCCCAGGGCCGTCTCCGCCGCACGGAGGGGCACAGTGCTTTGATGCCATCGGAGGGTCATCGGCGCTCGTCAGTCCACCTGGGCGGGGGCTCATCGGACTTCACTGAGGGACCCCCGCCCCGCTGCACCAGGCTTCAGCCAATAGGACGCCCATGACCAGGAGAAGCAGGGCAGCCAGGCTCAGGCGGACTTGAGTCTCCACAGAAGGACGCCAAGCGGCAGGCGCTGTGGGGGAAGAGGCGTAAGGGCCGATGCCCCTCTGTGGTTGTTGACTAGTCAGTCAGCTGTGTCCTTGTGACCCCATGGGCTGTGGCCCACCAGGATCCTCCATGGGCTCCCCCTCATGGGATTTCCCAGGCAGGAGTACTGGAGTGGGTTGCCACGCCCTTCTCCAGAGCATCTTCCTGACCCGGGGATTGAACCTGGGTCTCCTGCTTGGCAGGCAGATTCTGTACCACTGAGGCACCAGGGAAGCCGTCCATGCCCCTAAAGGAGCCTAAAACCCAGGCTCATTTCTGCAGACCTCTGGACCTGGTGGGAAGCCCGCCCACCCCACCCCCTTGGGGTAAGCAGCTAAGCACCTTTCTTTCCTCCTACATTACGGGTGCTGTGCTGATACCGGCTTCTGGGGTCAAGAAAGACAGGACTGGGGCGCTGGAGGCTGCCAGTCCCTGCCCTGAGCCCGGCCTTCTCCTCCCTCGGTGTTCCCCTGTGATTCGACCGTTGCCCAGCAGACACCCTGACCTCTGTTACCCGTGAGCTCCTGCGTGCCTCTTGACCTCTGGGTCTTGGCCCAGGGCTGGTTCCTCTGCCTGTCCTGCGCTTTCTACAAGGATCAGCCCTCAGATTTCATCCCAGTGTCTGTTGAAAATAGACCTATGAGGGACTTTCTCCTTGAGCTCTCTTCTGAAACACTAACCCTTTCTGTCAGTTTTATTCTCTTACACTGTGTGACTCTGTTTTTCCCAACTAGTTATTATGTGACACATGTTTATTCTGACAAAAATGAAAATACATATAACACATGTGTTAATATAATCTATATAAATATTTTCTGCAAAGCATATATGATATTTAATAATAGCTATATATATGTATGTGTATATATATATATATATATGTAAAACACATATATATACATGGAGTTCCCTGTAGCTCAAACAGTAAAGAAATGCCTGTGATGCAGGAGATCAGGGTTCCATCCCTGGGTCAGGAAGATCCTCTGGGGAAGGCAATGGCAACCCACCCCAGTACTCTTGCCTGGAGAATCCCATGGACAGAGGAGCCTGGCGGGCTACAGTTCATGGGGTTGCAGAGTCGGACATGACTGAGTGACGAACTCACACGTACATACATATAATATATAACAAATACATCTGCATCCATGTGGTTAACATTCTGGGTCAGAGAGAAGGGAACACGGTATCTCGTTTCAGTTTTCCACCTAAGCTCAGTCACTCACCAGTTGCACATCTGGGCTGTGTGCTGCTGGGAGAGTCAGTGGTTCCTGAAAACAGAGGTGAAATGGGAGAGGTCTTCCTTATTTCCACCCAGCCAGGCTCTCCCTTCCCAGAGTCCCAGGGACCCACGTGGCCCGTCCCTGGCCCATCCCTTAGAGATGCGAGTCTAAGCCGATGGCACTCACACAGCCCCCTCTCTCGGTCCTATCCCCAGCCAGTGCTTTAACCGCACAGGGTCAGCGCCCAGGGCGGGAGTCAGGTGGGTGGACTGGGCTTCTTCCTCACCTTCAACCTGAAGCTGCAGTGGGTCACTGGGCTGAGACCACACATAGGGGTTGTTGAGGAAGGCACCGTAGCATCTGTAGGTTCCCGCCTGTGTGGTGGAGACTGGATTCAAGAGGAAGATGGTCTGGTGTCCTCTGTGCTGGGGGGTGGAGCTTTGGTTCTGGGTGATGTGATCTCCAACTTCTTTGGTGAGGATAAATACATCATAGTTGATTTTGGAGAAACACTGCAACTTCACATTCTCCCCTGGAGCCACCACTGTGCCAGCCACACTGGAGAGGGATGGCTTGTCATAAGCTCCTGAGAAGGAAGGAAGTTCAGTGATGGAGGGAAGGGTCACCTATGCACTGTCCCTTTTTGTCCCCTGGGAGCAGACATGGCTCTGGTCTCTCTCCCCTCCTTGTCCCCCTTCCCCTTGAGGAAGTCTTTCGGCATCATCCCGGAGACCTCTCCAAGGACAAGGCTCGGTCCTCCTGCTTCCTGTCCCCAAAGCCTGGTCCTTCCCTCTGCAGAGGGGTCAGTCCCGGCTCTGGTGCCTCGGTGTCCCACTCACCAGTCATCACCAGCTGCAGGGGGTCACTGAACTGGGACCAGCGGCCTCCTCTCTGATAGGAGCAGTGGTATAGCCCTGTCTTGTCTGTTGTCATCTCTGCGATACTCAAAGTGTTGGTCTTCCCAGGTGTGATCTATTCCTCTTTGTCCATGGGCTCAGGACTTCCCACTTTTGATATTCTGTACCCCTCAGCTTGTTTAGGTCCTTGACACAGGAGGGTCACAGGACTCCTAGGTGGAACTGTGGATCTAGGCAGAGCTGTGATATAAGGCGGGGGGAGATTTCCTAGAACACAGGGAACAGGTGATAGACACACAAGCGTTTCTCCCTCCACCCTTCTATTTCTCCCCTTCTTACAGCCCCCAGTCTAGAGTCTGAGTCCTCTCTTTCCAGCTGCCAAGAGAGCTGATGTCAGGCTTAAACCCTGCTGGGTCCTCAGGAGTATCACACAGACCACTCACCCTTCTGTGCCCAAGTGCTCTGGCTCAGACACAACCCTAGAAAGAAATACCCGGTGAGAACACCCCAGCCTTAAAGAATCCTCAGCCCTGCCCTCCTTAGCTGTCTATTTGCACCCAACCCTCTCTCCCTGACTGACCAAGACAGAGCAGCGAGGGAGGAACCACGGACATGATCCCGCGTTCAGGCTGAGCGCTGGACTTGCTGATGCTGAACTGACTTGTCCGGAAGAGACACAGACACCCAGGAAGTGAGGTTGCAGCCCTGCTACTGCTGTGAGAACAAAGGCAGTCAACACCCTCATTCCCCCTAGTTCCTCTGGGTGAGGCTTAAAGTATGCACCCTTAAGAAGACGTTCATCATCCGTACTTCAGCCTGAGGGATCTTTCTTGTGTCACGTGGCATGTGTGATCTGAGTTCCCGGACCAGGGGTCGAACCCATAACCCCTACACTGCAAGGCCGGTTCTTAACTGCCACACCCCCAGGCAAGTCCAATCAACTCTGCAGCAGATTATCATCGGTCTAGTCTGATTCCTCTCTTTCTTCCCCAATTCCCGTGTCAGCATTTTATTTATTTATTGCAGGAAGTGTCAAAAGCTTTTATTCATTAGTTTTTTTTTTCATTTATTTTTATTAGTTGGAGGCTAATTACTTTACAATATTGTAGTGGTTTTTGCCATACATCGACATGTGTCAGCATTTTAATCTTTACATAATGCAAGGGGTAAGAGACTCTCAGTGTAAAAACAGGAGGGAAATAAATTCCGCTGTGGGGATTGCTCTGAAATCTCCCGTGCATTCAGGGCCCTTGCCTCTTCACGCTGCATTCCGGTTCTTTATATGCAAATCTGGGGGAAGGTTGGAGACTTCCCAAAGCTACAGTCACAGGGTATGTGGCACTTGTCCGAAACAGACCTGCTGGAGAGACTGTTGCAGAGTCTCTGGGAAAGCAACTCTTCTGCCCTTTCCTGTTTGCCCTTCTGGTTTCCCCGGCCCTGGAAGCACCTACGAGTAATGACAGAAATGAGATCACTGGCCAGCTTAACCTAACTGCTGATTTACGCTCTACTGAAGGCCCACCGTGTCTTGCCAGCCCTGTATATTCTTTTCCTCGATTAAAAGAAGAATGAAGAATTAAGTCCTTAAAGAGTGACTAGCTCTCTACTCCCTTAGGGATCCCTTAGGCTGATCACAAGGGCAAGATAACTTCTGAAGAAAGATCGCATCGGAGTCCCTGGTGGTGTAGTGGTTGGGACTCCACCTTCCAAGGCCGGGGCTGTGGGTGTGACCTCTGAAGGGGTAGCTAAGATCCCATTTGCCTTATGGGCCCAAAACCACAACATAAAACAGAAACAATATTGTAACAAATTCAGTAAAGACTTTAAAAATGGTCCACATTAAAAAAAAAATCTTATAAAAGGAAGAAAGATCATCTGAAGAGTCAGACAGTCAGAGGCGTGCAACAGAAAAGGACGCAGGGACTAACCTGCCTCGAAGATTTACTGAGATTCTTTGCCTATAAAAGCTGTCTCGGCCACACAGAATCTGCGGAGTGGATTCTGGGACATGGGTCCGTCTTCTTCCCAGATGGCTGGCCTTCTGATTAAAGCAAATTTCCCTTTCTACCAACACTTGCCTCTCCAGTACGTCTTTTTTTTAAAACATATTGATTGATGTGGACCATTTTAAATGGTCTTTATTGAATTTGTTACAGTATTGATTGTATGTTTTGGTGGTTGTTTGTTTTTGGCCATGAGGCATGTGGAATCTCAGCTCCCTAACCAGGGATCAAAGTCGCACCCTCTGTGTTGGAAGATGAAGTCTTAACCACTGGACCACTGGGAAAATCCCAATACTGGTTTTAGAGGGCAAGCAGTTGAATCCAAGCTTGGTAACATTTATTCCACCATCCCCACCCACTTCTGCAATATTCCCAACATTATGTCAACATTGATTATCCACTGGTGTCAATTTTGAACCTAAATGAGATACGTACATACCAGGTGGTTCGGTGGTAAAGATTCTGCCTGCCAACGCAGGAGACACAGGACACGCAGGATCCATCCCTGGGTCGGGAAGATCTCCTGGGGGAGGAAATGGCAACTCACTCGGGTATTCTTGGCTGGAGAAGCCCATGGACAGAGGAGCCTGGCTGGCTGTATAGTCCACGGGGTCGCAAAGAGTCAGACAGGACTGAGCGACTGAACACACACACACACACACATAAGGTTAAGTCAAGACTTTGTTCTTAAACTTTCATTCTGGCTGAAACTTACTGAATAGTTATGGCACCTATTCTGGATATACACGTTCCACTGATTTAAAGTAGTCCCTATCATATTGTGATAATGCTATCTTTGCAAAAATCTAAGATAACTTAAGATACCCTGGGCTTCCCAGGTAGCTCAAACAGTAAGGAGTCTGCCTGCCTGCAATTCAGGAGACCTGGGTTCAATCCCTGGGTCAGAAAGATCCCCTGGAGGTGGGAATGACAATCCACTCCAGTATTCTTGCCTGCAGAACCCCGTGGACAGAGGAGCCTGGTGGGCTACAGTCCGTGGGGTCACACACAGTCGGACCGGACCTAGCACGCATGAACAGATACACGTAGTCACATTGTAGATCTAAACCTTTTCCAGCTGGAATTCCCTTAGGAGTTAAGGACTACTGCGACATGGGATACAGGTTTTATGACAGGGATTGAACTTGACGGGACTGTGACCATGGAGGAAGAAATTTGTGGACGGCCACTGGTTGCATCTGTGGCCCTCCTGATGTCATGAAAAGTCAGCCAGACTGGGTGTTGAGAGGCGAACCTGGGTGTGTGTGGTGGGGGGTGGGGCGGGGGCAGATCAGGGGCAGAACTGGAGTGCTCGAGAGGACCAGTGTCAGCCTGTCCATCTCTGGCTCCCATCTCAATGAAGCCTAGGGCTCTTCATCCAAGGTCTTCAAAAAGGCAGGTGCAGGTGCTGGCCTCGTTGAAGGAGCTGGGGGAGTTGGAGGCGCTGGGCTTGGCTGTGAGCTCGCACTGGGCCGGCAAGTCCCATATAAGGTGTGTGGGCTGAACACAGGCCCCCTGAGCATGATCATGTTCAGCATCTGGGTGTCAGCAGGCCTGCAGCTTCACTTCCACCTTCGGTGCCTTGCGTCAGTTCCTGTTGCAGTCATCCCTAACCCAGCGCTGGAGGGGGAAGAAAATTCTAGGAAACGTAGTACAAATTTAGCTAAACCGACAGAGGGGAAAGCCACAGTCGCTGCTTCTCGTCAGCGTGGCTTCCAAAGCACATCCTTTAACCACACTCTGGGCTTCCCTGATGGCTCAGTATGTAAAGAATCTGCCTGCAGGGCGGCAGGCACGGAGACGCGGGTTCGATCCCTGGGCCGGGAAGATCTCCTGGAGGAGGAAAATGGCAACCTACTCCATTACTCTTGTAGGAAACATCCCAAGGACAGAGGAGCCTGGTGGGCTACAGTCCATGTGGGGCGCAAAGGAGCTGGACACAACTGAATGACTAAGCACAAAAGCACACAGCCGCACTTCCCTTTCGGATATAGATGTGGAAAAACCAGGGTTTCAGTTGACATGATAATGCAATGTTCCCCATACAACTGGAAGCATGCCAGTCATCTCCCAGTAGAGGGTACGAAGGCTTTTATCCATCGTGGGGTGAGGCTCAGTCCTTTCCTAGTCAAGTCAAGCTCTTAGTTTGACAACCGGTCAGGTATCAGAATCACTGATGTTTGTGCACTTTGACTGGTGTCTCCTTTTTCCCCACCTCCCCAGCCCCTGGCAACCACTGTTCTACTCTCTTGTCTCCACAAATTCAGCGTTTTTAGATTCCACATATAGGCGATACCTTTCACCATGTGACTTTCTCTGTCTGGCTTAATTTCACCTAGCAGAATGCCCTCCAGGTTCATCTATGTGGTCACAAATGGCAGCATTTGGAGACCCAGATTAGAAGCAGGAGATCTATTATTTATTAATTTTTCAACTTTTTCTTTTGTATGGAGGGTTATAGCCGGTGAACAATGTTGTGATGGTTTCAGGTGGACAGTGAAGGGACTCAGCCCTACCTTTACGTGTATCCATTCTCCCCCAGACCCCCTCCCATCCACGCTGCCACATAACAGGGAGCAGAGTTCCCCGTGCTCTACACACGGTCCTGGTTGGTTCTCCACTTTAAATACAGCAGTATGTATATGTTGATCCCAAACTCCCTAACTATCCCTCCCCCAATCCTTCCCCCTGGCCACCATAAGTTCATTCTCCAAGCCTGTGAGTTAGAAGCAGGCGGTTCAGATGGTGGGTTTTCTTCTTCTCAGGGTTACAGTCCTGCCTTGTCTGTGACCATCACCTGCCTGTCTACAGAGACCCATGGCCTGGCTTAAGTCAGCTGTAACGGCACTGGACATGCTGTTGAAGTGTTTTTGAATTGTGGCTTCTTATCAACTTAACCAGTGCTATGTTCTGGCCACGGAGTTCCTCTTTTGAATATCTGACCTCCTTTGCAGGCTTGGTCTATCCTCCCCAAACTCACTAATTCCAACAGAAGGCTGTTTGATTGCACCCCTCTCCCCTGCCACCCACGAGTTATATGGACTTCGGGGATGTTGGCTGACATTTCAGTCTGTTTCTTCACTCGTATTTCTTGAGAGCACATGTAGGGTTACGGGATGATTAAATATAATCATGTAAAGACTGGCTCACAACACGTATGATTCCAGGGATACATATGAGATTGTATCTTTTCCAGCTGTTTTTCTGAATTCTGAAATATGTGTGTGCATGTGTGAGTAACTGGAAAAGACCCTGATGCCGGGAGAGATTGAAGGTGGGAAGAGAAGGGGATGACAGAGGACGAGATGGTTGGATGGCATCACTGACTTAATGGACATGGGTTTGAGCAAGCTCCAGGAGATGGTGGAGGACAGGGAAGCCTGGCGTGCTGCCGCCCTTGGGGTTGCAAAGAGTCAGACATGACTGAGCAACTTCAACAACAACAGCAACAAATGTGTGAGTAAACAACTATATACTTGGTGATTTAGTTGGTTAGTTAGCTATTGGCCTTAGCTAATAATTCAGGGCACTGGCTGGCAAGCCTTATTGTCTTGATTTGAATCCTGGATCGGCCAATTATAATCCTATAGCTAACTGAGCGTTACTTTTTT